TTCCATTTCATTTTTGACAACTTCCAATTTTCTCAGATTCATACTTCGTACATTCCATGTTCCGATTTTCAATGGATGTTTACAGCTGTTTCTCTTCATTTTGTTGTTTCCCTTCATTTTCTACCCAGTAGTCAGTAAGTTATTCTCCCTTCCTTTCACCCCTTGTAACCATCAAAGAATGTTTCTTTTAGCATGAAAACCTTTTCTTGTGTTTGTACAATAGTGGTCTCATACAATATTTGTCCTTTAGTATTTCACTAGCCATAATGTCCTCCAGGTTCATCCATGTTGTGAGATGTTTTCGCAGATTCATCGTTATTCTTCAACGTTGTATATAGTGTTCCATTGTGTGTATGCACCAAAGTTTGTTTATCCATTCATCCACTGATGGGCATTTAGACTCTTTCCATCTTTTTGCTATTGTCTATAGTGCCACGATGAACATGGACTTGCATGTATCTACTCATGTTTTGGCTCTTATTTCTCGGGGATATTTAAAATAGAGGAATTGCTGGTTCATATGGAATTTCTGTTTCCAACTTTTTGAGGAAATGCTATCCTATTTTCCATAGTGTTGCACCATTTTACAGCCCCACCAACAGTGTATGAGGATCCCAGTTGCTCCACACCCTCAACAGCAATTGTTTTCAACAAAAGGTGTTTTATAGGCTCAGATTTTTTTTAATATTTTTGATGTTTTAGCTACAATATTATGGTAATTGTTGTTGTTGTTAAGTGCCGTCGAGTCAATTCTGACCATAGCGACCCTAGGATTTCCAAGGAGCAACTGGTGAGCTTGAACCACTGACCTTGCATTTCAAACAACTTTGTAGTATTGTGGTAACTAGTGAACATATTTTAATTTTTGAGAATGAAGTAAAGGAAAAGAAGGAGAAAAACAAAAACAAAAAAAGCTTTTGTTCAGTTAATGTTGTAATAATAATTTAATGTTGCAAGATTTTATAAAACAGTTGTGTTTTTAATCATTCATATAATCTGAAAAGCTGGTGGTTCAACCTCACGTAGAGGTACTTTAGATGTAAGGCCTAGTAATCTACTTCAAAAGTTCACAGCATTGAAAACTCTAAGGATTGTAGTTCTATTCTGCACACATGGATTGCCAAGAGTTTTCATTGACCTGATGACAGCTAGCAATAATAATAACGGCAACAAGTGTTATTTTAAGGATTAAATAAGGTAAAACGTGTAACATTTATAATGCATCTAGTTGTAAATGTTTTATTATTGAGTGTTATTTCTTATTTATGTTGCCATTGTTATTACAAACATTTTTAGCATATTCATTGGATTTTATTTAAGTGAGTATTTTTTATACTGCTTAAGTAGAGACTATAGTTCTTACTGCAACAATTACAGTTACACAACTTCAGCATATTTAATAGTAAGTTCTAGTTTGCCTTGGTTTCTTATTTTACTAAAATAAAAAGTCTTTTCTATAATTGACAGAATTATGTTTGAAGAATTTGAATGATCTGTCATCTTTAAAGTTGATAAATATGAATGAAGATGAATTCAAGCCAACTGGTAATTTCTCTGTCATTGTTAGTAAATTTAACAGTTGTTTAGTTAAGAATAAAATAAAAAATTTGTTTTCCTAAAATTTGGGTGATGATAAAACTAAATTGTGATCTCAGTTTTCAACAGGATATCATAATTATTAGCTGTAAAACATGATAAATTTATACAAGAGTCTTATTTATAAAATTCTGAAACTGCTTTTTTGACAGAGTTTTAGCAGAGGGTTGAAGTGCTCTCAAATTGTTGGGCTGCTTCAGACCTGTTAAAACTCCTGTAAATATCCTTTTGCCAGTTTTGAATTATTTGAACACTGATTATCTGGATGGTTACCTAGGCTTCTTTTCTCTACAAAAGAAAGAAAAAATACAAAGACTGTGTCTTCTTCATTTTTCATGTGTCTTTTGTGCCTGGTGCCATTGTAGGCACAGAATAGATGTTAAGTAAATGTTTGTTAAGCTGATGAAAATGCAAGTTGTTTCAGCTGATGGGAACCGTTTTTATTTTCCCATATTTCCCTACAGAGATAGGAAGATTGATGGCTTGGTATTATATTACATTTGAGACAGTGAAGAAATTTTGTGCTATCAGTGGGAAAGAAACTTTATCAGATCTGGTAATTATTTTTTACTAGGAAATAAAAACAAAATGATATAACATAGAATAATATTAGAGAAACAACTAATTTGTATCATGTAATTTAAGAAAGAATGAGCAGAAAAGAAAGTTTTTCCAATAATGGCTATGTATCCCTCATTTATACCTCTGAACATGAAATACGGAATATTTCTCTTACAAATATATTTTATTTTTAGTTGTAGCTCTGTTTGAGACCTAAGAAAATGTATATACATACCCAAAGTAGGGAGTCCTAATGTGATGCTGTGAGATCAGCACTGGACTGTGGACCAAAAGGTTAACAGTACAAATCCACCAACTGCTCCTCGGAAATCCTATACAGGGTCGCTATGAATCAGAACTAACTCAACAGCACTTAACAACAACAGCAACCTAAAGTAGGGATGGCAAGTAACTTTAATTTATAATGTTAATTATCTTGATAATGGCTCTCAAGTGTAATTTTTTTTTTTAAAGATTTTATTTTGTCTTGAATGAGTGAAGGCTTACAGGGCAGGTCACCATTTTTACATTCAGTAAATCATTGCAGTGATTACAATCCCCTCCATGCCACCCCAGCCAATAACATTTACCTCTATTACCTTTTTTTTT